CTTTTGAACGCGAGGATGTACGGGCCGGAGGACGGGTCGTCGGATGGGCCGGTTTTAATGGGCCCGCGTAGAAGGGGGAGCGGACGAGGGAAGGGGACGAGGGTTGCGGCGGCGGAATAGTCCTCGAGGTTTTCCGGTGGCGGAGACGGTGGAGAGGCGCTGCTCATCGGGCTAAGCTGAGGGTCGTTATCGGGCTATGACGGCGTGAAACTTTTTGCCGAACTGCACTTTTAGCTTCATCTCTTAAAATCGTTACGCTTTTGCTTAATTTTACCTTTTAAAATTAATCTAAACTAGTATTTTAACTGTACATTTGCACAAATGTAAATAAAATATTGTGAGTTATTTATATGCATATAATAATTAATTATTTTTCTTTCACGTTTTTGCAGCCAAATTTACAATTAAAGGAGTTGATTTTTTATTTTTTTAAATTGCGTTTATTAGATTGGATGTAATGTATATTTTGGTATGTATTTTTTTAAAAAATTATTTATAATTTATTTAGGAGTTTCATATATTTTTTTATTTTCCAAAAAAAAATGATTTACATGTAACCACAATAATAATATCTAATCACATTACACGGTAACACATTATATGGTTAACTGTCAGTAATCAAAAGTTCAAAATGATTTTTGTATTTTAAATTGATTAATGTATTGATTATCTATTAATTAGGTTAAATAAATTAAAAGTGACGGTTTTTGGGGGGAAAATGTAAAAGTGCCACCTATGTATAATTTATGAGGTTTTCTTAAATGTAGAAGAGCTAGTAATTATATATATATAGACTAGTACTAGTATAACGTGAACTAACAAGTGGATTAAAGATATATAAATATATATATAATTTATAATATATGTATTTTTTTTTAATTTTAAATATATATTTTAAAACTACATTATTACCTTTATATATAGCATAATTGCAACATAGAATTTTAAAGTTCTCTCAAATTCTTACTCATAACATCACAAATTCACAATGTATAGACCAGTTTTAGCATATATATATAAAACAACAATACAATGAAAGAAAAACGTTTAGAAATGACATCATTCTATAAAAAAAGTTACTTCTAATACAAGTTTGGTATGCAATTTCCCCTCGGATCGAAAGTGAACACATGAGAGTTCTCGGTGGAAAAATTTGATGCTCAAGTCAGTAATCGACTCATGGACTATTTTTATGACAAGATATATTGTATGTTATCATAATAGAACCTGGAACCCTCATTTTGTAGGAATTGTCGTTTCCTCCAAGTTAAACCTTTCACATTAGGAAAGAGATTTCAAATACTCCCTCCTTTTCAAAATAAGTGTCGTTTTGACTTTTTTGATTCATCCATTTTGCTATGTATCTAGACATAAATATGTCTAGATACATAGTAAAATGGATGAATCAAAAAAATCAAAACGACACTTATTTTAAAAAGGAGGTAGTATATCTTATTAGTTATTTCATAGTGAAACACGATTTGGGATCATCTTAACAAACACGAGGCCATTACAGTAAGATTCTCTGTGACACTTGTAATTGGCTCTTGGATCTTTTCTCAAGTCCATGTCTTCACTAAGATAATGACATGCCTTGCTCACAAGCCATAACGT